GAAAAGACCTGTACTTAATAGTTTTTTAAGCACAGGAGTAATGTACGCCTGTTTCCAGATTTTGGGTACAATTCCCTCGGACATAGAGCGTCGGAAAAATATAAATAGAGGTTGAGATAGTTCATCTGCACAGTTAATTATGAAATGAGGGGATATACAGTCAGGGCCACCCGACTTATTCACATCCAAAGTCTTAAGTGATTTACTGATTTCCCTCTTTACAATACAAATTGTATGCATAATGTCCAAATGTTTAATTTGTGGTTGATTAGTCGAATCAACATTAGTTTGTGAGTTGTTCCCATCCGTTGAAGAGAATGTGGAATAAAAATATTTTGAGAACAAATCGACAATTTCTTGGCCATTTACTGCAATTTCATTGTTTAAAGTCATATTAATGGGAATAGAATGGGTAATCTTACTACGTTTTACGTAGCTCCAGAAAGTCTTTGGATTGCTTACGATTTTTTTTTCCATCAGCATAATATAGTTTTTGTAGCATTCTCTTTCGATCTCCTTAGCTCTAGCACGTAAACATGAAAAAGATTCGTAGTCACCAAGATTTCCGTACGTTTTAAATTTAAGGTGGTATTTGCGTTTGTTACGAAGTATTTTTATTAGAGGACGGTTAAACCAAGGTGGGTAACGAGATGATTTAACGCCTTTGACTGGAATATATAAGTCCCTAAGTTCATAGAGTTTCTTAAAAAATAAATCAGTTGCTTGATCTAAATTTACCCCATTAAGCATAGTTTCCCAATCGCATGCATTTAATTCCGATCTTATCTCGTCGTACTTTCCCTTAGAGTAATTGTATTGGTTCTGTGTTAATACCGGAAGTTCGCTAACTTTTATTGACATTATAAGGATGGACAACGCTTTATGATGAGCATCCTCAGGAATAAGTGGGTCACAGGCTATGAGTTGGGCTGTAGAATTACATGTATGTCGAAGATTAACACACGTGTCGATTTTAAACATCCCCATGTGAATATTAAACAGTTCCCCATGTTGTTCGACCGATAGATCCAAAGTTCAAAAATCATAAACCAATTTTATTGGGTCTACGCTCTGAGTTTACAAAATTGTTCATGCATAAGTAATATTGTGCTTATAAAACTTACCAGAAATACTAAAGGAAAGCATTAAATCCTGCTAACCTCAAAAGCTGAAGCTTGGTACGTGATATTTGAGACGAACGGTAAATGATGACAGAGATTATTTGAATCGAGTTATTATTATGTCTGAATTTGTTTCATATTCTACCATTATTCTGCTGATACTCTTTATTTTACCAATTTATATTCATATTGATAAATGGATCTATTAACGTGTGTGCATACCTCGTTTAAATAGATGTTTGGACGGGAGGCAATAAAATTGGAAACTAAACAAAAGTTTGAACATTCGTTGTCCATGACTTTTATATACAAGGTTATTAAGTTGTAGAATTTAATGTCGCTCGGGTGTTCTCAATTACACAATGCCTATTAAAATGTCTGATGACAATGTGAAGCCAATGCCATCCGAATGGGTTGTTAAAATTTTCCTGTCACGTGCACACATCTCTTCCAAGAATCAATGCCAACACAAAATTATTTATGAGTATTTGCAATATTCTTAAGAATTATATCACGTTTTAACATGCGACTTTTATATTGAAAACATTAATTATTATTAGAACAATAACAATTTTGTATTACACATTGGCAATGTGGCTTACCTACGTTTAGTGTGTAACGTCTCTTCACGTATAAACATCAAAAAGGTTCATCAAAGGATATTCTAAAAAATAAAAGTGCATAGCAGTAAACACTTTAAAGCCGGTCTATTGTTTAGATATGGAATTACTGGCAAAACATCGTGTATACAACAAAGAACTCCACATTCTTGCCAGTAACCTAGATCCTTTGTTTCGATTCGCCGATTTGATCTCTCGAGCCAGTGGGATCCTAGTAGGATGCGAAATAAACGTGAAATGTTAAGCCGCTCTGTATCCTTGGCTTTTAACGTAACGCTTTTAACTTACATCGTTGCGAACATCAATTCTTGATTGGATTGAGATATTTGACTTTGTAATATCTTAAAGTTTACTGAATACTGTAAAAAGTAATTATTAGTGGCGTGGATTGGCGATTTTCGTTTTTTGTGCGAAACACACATTCTGACGAGAAGGCCCTATTTGTATTTATAGTGGTTTTAAGAAAAATTGTTGACCAAATAGAGACGAAATGGTATAACAAAATATTGTATGCACAAGTGTTTCTATTAAGGTAAAGGAGATTTCGCTCAGTATTTTATTAGGTTATATATGCGATATCAAATGAATTTATATATAAATTATCGAAATTAAGTATTCTATGGCTTTTTAACCGGGTAGGTATCGGTGACTCACCGTCGTAATAAACTGGCACCAAATTAAGTAATTTAAACTTATTTTGAACACTTTTGTAGTGATGGATGAAAATTATTCAATACTACAATTACCTTCCTCTTATAATAAATAGAATGGCTGAGACAACAGAACATACAGAGATTTTCATGGTGATAGATTTTCGCGTGTACATGGTCGTGAAACAAATCTAAATTGATTTTATGTATATAAAATATAAGAATTGTAGACCCAATAAATAAGTCGACGTTTTATTGATGCATTCAATACCAGAAAATTTTGAAAAATCGCCCCTGAAGGCTAGAATCATCAAAATTCTGGTTAACAGTCGATCTTGCAAGCCGATTAGGCCACGGAGGCGTTTGTGTATTAACGAAAATTTGGTTTGATTGACAGGTTTTAGATCGTATTAGTACTTTCGTTACTTTTTTATGTTTTAAAGTGTGATTTTTGAAAAGAAGTACTTGATAAACGGTCCGAAATCCGATGGTCTTCGATATCATAACATAAAGAATGTTCAAACAATCATCGAAAAAGAGACATTTTTTTCTATTATTAATCAAATGTCAAAAGAGTTATGCTCAGGAACACATAGATTTAATTTATAAATATATCTAGAGATATATAACTAGTCAGGTTTACCCAGTTAATTGCGAAAAGGTTAACAGAGCGCGGCCATACAGCGCACTTCCCATTCCAAAGTTACTGATTGAGTGGTTCTTGTTTAGTGTATTTATTCAAATCGCAATATGAATTTTGACGGCTTTTAAGGAAAAAAAAAAACTAACAACGAAATGTCAAACTGTACGTGGTTAGCATTTCAACTCAAGGTTACTTGTGACCGAAGGCGAATTCGGCGAACTAAACCAATATATCACTCATTTGAATTGCCAATACTTCATCGTTGTAGTTTTATTTAAAAACATGTTTTGTTTTTATATCTTAAATTGTTCTTAGAGGATTGGTTTCCATGGTTGGTTGGCGGTTTGGCGATAATAAGAGCGCGGGAGAGTTAGTCCGCTTAAGATTTCGATGGCAGATCATGCCAGTAGACGTAAGTACGCGTTCTGGCAGGGCACCTGTTGGAGGATTAGTTATTAAATGATGAAATGCTAATGAAGAAAGGCACCGACTCTTGTCCACTGTTTTTATACATGTCATTTCATTGCGAAGCGTAAGAAAAATGTTGCTTTTTAGATTGTCAACTATTTCAAAGTTGGTTTTCTCAAATTGTTTATTGAGTTACTCAGCATTTGCCGGTGCTTTGTACTATTTGATTGGATTTCCTCGCCGTTGCTGATATTATTTTTTAAGGTTTATGACCCATTATTCATTTAACCTGTTTTCGTTCTGAGTACAAAAGAATCGAATATATTTTATGAGAACCGAAAAACCCCGGTACGAGAATTGTGATAGCTGGTTCTCAGTACATAGATTTACATAGAACCGGGTATGACCAGAAGCGAGTAGAACCGAATACATGCCCACAGTCTATCTTATTAAGTTTAAAGATGTCTACATAAGAAGTTCAATGAATTGGATGAAGTAACTCATTTCATTTAAAAGGTAGATGTAGGTTGCTACAGATACGAATATTACGTGAAACATGGATCTTTGTTACTTTGCTAGAGTCACTTACGGAACTAAATTGACTAATTTTTGATTAACAAATTTATCATGATTTTTTAAAACATTTTCCTTTCTTTAGGATAACATTATTCTGTGTTGTAAGGACGTTTAACAAACATATTTTTCACGCGGACTAACACCCAGATGCGAAACAACTATCTGTGGGTCACACAAATAGTTGTCTCGTGTGGGAATCGAACCCACGACCCCCGACGCCGAAGCGTCACGGAACGCAACCATATTTTATTGTTTTAAACATTTAAATTTCGAATATCAAGCCATTTCGCGACTAAAGCGTTGTATTCATAAATTTTAACCTAGATAGACAACCAGTTATGCTTGTTAATTTGGCTGTGATTTAATTTTAATAATAAACCGCTAAAAACAGATCAAGGGTGAATGTTTTTGATAAAATTACGACACTGGACCAATAAAACTGATTAAGAGACGATTATGTTAGTGTTTTCTGCCTTAAATGTATTTATCGATTGGTTGTAGTGCCCTCTTCAAGCATTATTGGATAACATAAATTTACCTAAAATTTTTTATGTTAAGTATAAATACCGCAAAAATCGGTGGAAATTATCAAATTTGATTTAAGATAGGTACATCATAGATAGAAATTCTCTTATTTCTCTTATGTTATGTAAGTATTATTAATATTTTATGGTATGATTGCGTTTGTTACCGAGAATAATACCAACCACTGATATGCACCAATTCAAAGAATATAAACTATTGCATACTTTAAGGTTACTATCAAGTAGCAACTTTACAAAAATATAAGCACCTCTTATCATTTGAAATGCATAATATTCAACTAATTACTATTGCTTAATGTAAAATGCAAAAGGTCTTTTAAACAAACACTTTCATACGAGGTAAAATTTGCTGCGATGTCGTTATCTGGGAAGGATCTGACTGGTAAAAACAATATAATTGTTTAATTGGCTTATCACATGTAGGGAAAGTAACTTACAGAACAGGCTGAGTCCCAGCCATCTGTGACGAGATCGCTTCATGCTGCCAGTTTGACCTGAAACGAGGAAAAACAATATTAATTAGACTGTACATATGGTACGATAGATGGTCATCTTACTAACTGATGTTACAGGACGTTTTATTGATTTGAGCTCGGTGTGGATAAAATTGTGTGTCCAAACAACAATATCCGTATTAAAAATGAATTGTGTTACAGAAATAACGGTTATTGATTAAGCAAAGCAAAGCCACCATTTTGATGAAATTTTTATATATCTCAATGGAAAACAATCTTCGCTTAAAACACACTTATCATTAATAATTTTTACACAGATAAGGGATAGGTAAAAGTTTAAGAAAGCGTAACTTAACTACGTTGCACGATAGTAATATTCACGAAACCATTTTAGTCAGTGTTATTCGAAAACGTTTCTAATAACACAAACCGCACCAAGTTAAATCTTTAACGTGAGACGCATGGTGCATTGTTGAATAAATAAGATCGTTTTACGATAAGCCTTCGACTGCAATGTTGTCTCACGGTGAATCGGACACCAGTCTGTCTGTATATAGATACGAAATAGTCAAGTGACACACTTGCTGATATAATAACGCACACTCTTAACCGCTGACGATGAAATTGTTGTTATGATAATAAGTGCATTTTTAATAGCAGTATCTACTAAACGGATAGTATGGGAAGTATGAGAAAAGATTGCCTTTGAGGAAGAAATCAATTCAATTGTAATTTAAATCTTGGACTAGTTTTTAATTCCTAGGAGATATTTTGTAGATTTCACACTTAAGTAGTAGACGGAGCCGCTGTATTAGGCTAGTGATGAATAAAATTCCGTAGTTATACACAATAAGGTAATAATTAAAACTGAACGCACTTGCAGCGAGGCGGCGTCCGCTGGTAACCGTCCAGGGCCTTGCATTGTTTTCGATCCGCCACGTACTCTGGTAAATACAATCGACTATATACAATGGGCTACGACTCCATCTCTCGCAGAGAACAGGTCTGTCGCTGCGTAAGTAAACCTGAGTGTAGGTAAAGGCCACCTATTTTGGAGTCATCCAAACCGGAATGATGCCCGCGCCAGCTCGACGGGTTCCACTCGGGTTGTAAATAAAAAGCGCATTCTTGCTGCAGCTCTTTAATTACGCACGCATAAAAGGGCAATGCCGGACGTCTGCACATTTAACGCACAATTAGAAATCGTGTTTATAATGGGGTTCTCACTTTTTCTCTCAGCTGAACACGAGGATGAGCTGACATCGTAATTTTAATAGAGACAAAAAATATGATGACTGCGGAGTTTCTTTCGCCCGTTTGTTCTCCGTTAGAGGAACCTCATTACGAAACTGGTAGATTAAAAAAAATGACTATCGATGAAATGTATGTTTCTTATGTCGATGAATAAATGATTTTGATTTTAATGAGACTAAAAACACTTCAAACATTGAGGTTGATTAACACCGATAAGTTAAATTTTTCCTGCACTATCTTAAATGTGTGAAAAGGTCATAAAGTGGTTTAGTTTGGTGGTTACACTGACATTTTTAATGAAATTATCTAGGACAGGATACTGACTGTTCTGTCCTATGCCAATTACGCTATATCCACAAACATACGTTTAAGAAAGTGGATACATATCGAATGGTACTAATTAAAGCAAATGCAAATGCTAATCTTCGACTTTGCAGTAAAGATACCTCGAACCTTAGGTTATGAACTGTATCTTATACCTGTATATATATATATATATATATATATATATCAAAGTCAAATATCTTTATTCAATATAGAAGCATTCACTTACTTATTGATAGTCAAGAAACTCTACCACCGATTCGGAAGGTAAGCCACTGACCTGAGAAGAACCGGCGTAAGAAACTCAGCGGGACATTATTTTTTTTTTACTTGCCAAAAAAATTACAAATATGTGTACAATTATTAAACTCCTATTAAACTCCACTTGAAAGAGCCTGGAGCGATCAATTCATTTCCAGAGTGTGTTATCATTCATATAATCACTAATACTATAATAGCCATTAACACACAAACGTTCCTTTACAAGTTTTTTGAATTTAGCAACGGATTCATTTTGAACGTTTTCTGGGATTTTGTTGTAAAAGCGTATACATTGTCCCATAAAAGATTTACTTATTCTACGCAATCTAGTTGAGGGTAGAACTAATTTATGCTTGTTCCTAGTATTTACATCATGCACATTACTAAATTTTGAAAAGTCATTCTTATTTTTGTGGACATACATAACATTAGCAAGTATGTACTGAGAAGCTACAGTTAATATTTTTATTTCTTTAAACAGGTTTCTTAGTGAGTCTTTGGGGCCCAGGTTATAAACCGCTCGAATAGCTCTCTTTTGCAAGATGAAAATAGTATTTATGTCGGCTGAATTTCCCCAAAGTAGAATGCCATAAGACATTATACTGTGGAAATAGCTAAAATATACCAGACGAGCCGTATCCACATCAGTCAACTGTCTAATTTTTTTGACTGCAAAGACTGCTGAGCTAAGTCTACTCGACAGTTTATTAATATGGGGGCCCCACTGCAATTTGGCATCTACGGTTAAGCCAAGAAATACAGTCGAGTCAATGAGGTCTAACGCTTCCCCATGTAAAAGTACATCAGTTTTTACACTTTTTACATTTCGTTTTTTTACTATTCAACATTAAGTTATTAGCACTAAACCAATGCACTACAGTGGAGAGAGTATTGTTAACGTCGTCATAATTTGAAGAATGTCGTTTAACTTTAAAAATTAAAGAAGTATCATCAGCAAACAATAATATCTCATGATCATTATTTACAAGATAGGGCAGGTCATTTATGTAGATGAGGAAGAGAAAAGGCCCCAGAATAGATCCCTGTGGAACCCCCATACTTACCAGGGCCCCGGGAGATCTCTTGCCATTCACGTCAACTCTCTGAACACGATAGCTCAAGTACGATGTCAGAAGATTGAGTGCGGCATCTCTTATGCCATAGTGGCGTAGTTTCCTGACCAAGGTCTCATGCTGTACACAATCAAATGCTTTGGTTAAGTCACAGAATATACCTAAGGCATCCTGTGACTCTTCCCAGGCTTCAAAAATATTCTTCACAAGCTGGATACCCGCATCTGTTGTTGAGCGACCCCTAGTAAATCCATATTGCTTGTTATGCAGCAATTTATGTGTACTAAAATGGAGTAACATTTGATTCAAAACAATTTTTTTCAAAAATTTTACTAAGAGTCGGTAGTACTGAAATAGGTCTAAAATTGCTGGGGTCAGAAGTACTACCAGATTTGAACACCGGAATAATCTTACTATGTTTCATAAGGTCAGGAAACTCGCCACGTTGAATACAAATATTAAAAATAGTTGCTAAGTAAGGTGAGACTACATCAATTATAGAACTGATCACCCTGACAGAGATCCCCCATAGATCAGCAGTTCTTTTAATATCTAGAGATTTGAATGTTTTTATGATATCGTTCTTATTAACAGTAGTAAACTTAAAGTTTTCTTTACATTCCATAACATTTTTCTTAAGTAATGATTCGGCAATTGTCGGAGAAGAGAGAAGTGACTTAGTTGTAGAAACAGGAATGTCAGCAAAAAATTTCTCGAAAAAATTGGCAACCTCCTGATTAGATTGAATAGTATTAATACCATCAGTTAAGGTTAAGTCAGAGTTGCGCTTCGTAAGTCTACCCGTTTCACTATTTATTATATTCCACGTCATTTTGATTTTATCAGATGCGCTTTTTATTTTATTTTTAATAAATATTGATTTAGCCAGATAAGAAACTTTTTTAAATATTTTAGAATAGGCGCTAACATAAGCTACAAAAGAATTACTGTGATTGAATGTCCTTTCATTATACAGTTCATACAGTCTACGCCTACTCTTATGAATTCCGACTGTTGCCCAATCATTGAAAACTGCAGAGCTTTTACGAGATATATATCTGAACACCCTGTATATATATATATCTGAAATGTATAACTACTTCTAACTAAAGGAATATATAAAGTAATCTAGTGTCTCTGTCTTTCTAATCTTCTGTGTGTGATATTGTTTTTGAATCCTCAAGAATTTTTCGTTATGGACTGGCTAACTCGACCGCAATCCCACCAAATAAATGTTGATAAAGATAGTATATATATTCACTCAGAAGACGTTGACTCTTTCTTGCCTCGATTTGTATAAGATTGTAATCGACACACTTTTTTTTCGCTCTCTATGGATGATGAGACGAATATTTTAATTCGTCAAGTTTAAATTTTTACAGTTCTATTCTCTGCCGAAGAGGTGGGTTTCCACAGCGGCGACAATCATTTCATACTTTTTTACAAATTTAAATTTTCGTCAAGCAATTAATCTTGTTTCAAATACGTATACGTAAATCCTTTCACTTTTTAAATCTTTGGTATGCTACTGTACAAGTTCATTTATAGGATTTTATGGAACTTAAGTCCACTTTATAAGATTTTAAGCATTCTTTACAAAGTTAAACGGATCTAGATTTCACTAAAACCTAAATAGACGTTTGAATATTCCGTTTACCTCGTCGCGCTGCCGCCAAATCTTTGGTAACACAGACGCATTGTGAATGAAAAAATCTAATTAAAATTCCTTTGTTTAACGAATGTGTTACGGAACCAATTTAGACTCAGGATTCCTGCGACTCTGTTTCCATATGGTTTTATTGTTTCGGTTGTTGCATTAGAACGTGTTGCTATCGACGTTTTAAACGCTTATGCAAACTAATAGACAGGAAAAGAGATTAATGAAGTTACGTGGATTCCGAAATTGGATATTGTGTGCAAACGTAGTGCAAAGTTTCCATTTAACAGGTATCAACTTAGAATTAAAGTAAATTAGCACTGAATTATTGATTTTTCAAAATTCAGTTTTATATATTTGTTATAACGACCGCACACACTAGAAGTACAAATGGATTTAATATAGGTTAAGCTCCTGTGGCCATAATTGATAGGAGCATGGCATTTGATTTGGATTTAGTTTTGTGATCT